ATCAAACCCATCAAAATGGACTGAGAGACAGAGCCAGGGGAAATAAACAAAACAGGAAGTCGTGGGCCTCCCAAGCAAATTAAAACCATCATATCAATGGAGATATCAATGGAGCAATGGGCCTCCAAGAAATTGTTCATGCCAAACTGCCTGACAAGATCCGTGTGAAGTTCCAAGCCATAGTGAAAAAGTAAGAAAAGTAAGAGAAAGAAATATCAGTTCCCCGATGGTTCAAAGTTGATAGTGAAACTTTCATCAAACAACAAATATCACACTTCCCTACGAACATAAGGGGCATCGATGCTGTCTCCAACTAATAACGCTAGTAAGTTAGCTGGTTGATTGCCTTCTCTAAAAATGAAACTCCACACCAAATTCATATTGGAGGTCAAACTTTTGATTCTCTTGATATAATAAAGAACATCCCAAGGGAGCTCCAAACCCTTTGCGAAAATGTCCATAAAAAATTTGATTCACTTTCAACAATGAGATTATTCCAGGAAAGATGAGCAGCCAGAATGACCGCCAACAAAACAGCCCGAGCCTCAGCTTCTATAGGAGAATCTACGTATGAAGGGGAGGAGAAAAAGTGAATGCAATTTCCTGTATCATTCCTAGCCACACCCCCAAAACCAGCACTATCAGGTTTCCACCTCCCATCCGTGTTAAATTTAATCCAACCCCTCGGAGGAGGTCTCCACCTGACCAAAACAGTTCTAATAGGGAGCCTAACATCATTCATATTAGTGTTATCTAAGGAAAGAAAATGATTTATACCGGAAAAGAAACTCTTCTTATTGTTCCCAAGCCTCCACAATTTATTAATGTAAGCAATGATATTAGTGAAGACCGTCCTACATCAGATGTCCTTGCTAGCATGAATAATATCATTGTGGGCCATCCAAATATATATATATATATATATATAAATTAGGAATGAGAGGCCTCGCACCTCGCCTCTGTTTCGTCGACTCTCCCTTCTCATCCTCTGCTTCGTCCCGACATTACTGCGTTTCTTCGACATCGTCGACGTCGGCGTCTCGCTTGTTTTCGTCGCAGATTCTGTTGCAACTTGTGTCTGCGTTGGCGTCTGTTGCGTCTGCGTCATTTTCTGTTTTGACCCTGCGCCTCTCCCTGCCCTACAGATTCTCTCCCTGTCGTTTCTTTTGCTTGTCGGGGACCTCACAACAGGTAAACGCCGACAGATCTCCCTGCTCTGATGGCGCTCCCTTCTTCTTTGATTGAACCGGAAAAAGCTTCCTTTGTCCACGTGGTGGGTAATCCTTAGGTGGAGTCCGTGGTTGTCTTCCCCTCAAGCTATAAGGATTTTCGCGATGATACTGGTGATTGCCCTTTTGTTAAGAAGGGAAGTAGGAAATGTAAGAAAACAACAATCTTTTTCTCTGACTTAGAAATTTCAACATGACGGAGAAATTCAAGTTTGTTCTTATTGAAAAATTTCAGTGGGGGCACCCACCTCTGGAAATTATCAGAAAGAGTAGTGTTGTTGATTTTAAACTGGTAGGCAAGTGGAGAGTGAGACTCATGGATGAGAGATGTGTGTTGATTCAACTAATTGTGGCTGAGGACTGCACTCAAATTTTCTCCAAGAAATAACTTAATATCGTAGGAAAATCGATGAAATTACTAAGTGGTCTCTCGATTTCGAACCAAATCATGAAACTCTCATTGTACCGGTATGGTTTAGTCTATCTAGTCTAAAGCTGCACTTTTTTTATCATCAGGTTTTCTACTCTATTGGGGTCATCTTTGGGGACCCTATGAAGCTAGATCTACCAACTTTCAATCTAACAATACCTTCTGTGGCCATGATACTTGTGGAAAGGGATATTACTTTATCTGATGTTACTGAAGTCTGACTGAGCACAACTCATAATGGATATTGACAACAAATTGTCATGGAACACATACCTTCATATTGTACCCACTATAAGTTGTTTGGGCATACCCTTGATAAATGCCACAAGCTCCATCGTAATTTGAAATCTAAGGTTTAAGTGAATAAAGATGAGTCTAACCCCACTGCTCTGGACATTTTAGTTCCACCTGTGGAGGATACCATCAGTCAGGAGGTGTCTGTTGCCCTTGTGGACCCCCCTACACTGTTGTTACTGTTACTGCGATTGATGTGATGTTGTCATCTTCAAACCCTATTAAAAACAATACTGAAGGACTATTACCTACAAAGGATATGTTCAGACTGATAATCTGAAGAACCTCGCAGCTCCCTATCTTCTGGAAGTATTCAGTGTAGAGACAACTCATACTTCACATGTATTAGAACCTATTGTGGGTACTACGGCTGGTAATTTTTCTGCTACAGCTTTACCACCTCATCAGGCTGTTTCTTCAGATGACAAATGACATGTTTACACTTCCAAGAGGAAGAAGAAAAATGGAGATCTACTTGAGGTCTGCAATCTTATGGATGATTCTTTAGTTACTTCGGGTAATGGTACACACCTTACCAATTTGTTAACTGGATCCCTTCTGAGAACCAGAGGCAGGGGCATGACTAAATTGGGACGATCCTTACTTTTTTTGCACCTTGGTGGTTTTGGTTTTTTTTTATTTTTATATGTACGCGTTTTGACTTTTTTGTTTGTGTTGTATCGTGTGGGTTAGGTGTCTATTTTTGGGCCCACTCATACAACCTATTTGTATCTATTCTCTTTAATATATTAACCCTTGGGTTTTTTTCAAAATATATATATATATATATAAACTAGACAAGCAAACATATAAGAAAAGTAAAAAATTTACTTCAAGTAAAGTGCACTAAAGATACAAAATCAAAAAGTGATTTGCTTATATGAGGATATTCAAAATAGGTGAGTGAGATATTTTGATAAATTTTTCATGAAGATTATGAAAATGCAATCAACTTTAGTGATCTTAATATCATAAATAAAAACTTTTTTTATTATTTCTAACATTGCATTAACAAAATGTAAGTTAAGGTGATTTTTAAAAAAATGAAGCCTATAAAAGCAGGATTTGATGTTATTCTAATAGTAGTGTGAAAATGTTTAGGAGCTCTTGGAATTTATTTTTAATATTATTTAAAAAAATAAAAAGAAGCCTTATTTGTATATTTGATCCTATTTTTTAGAATAAATGATTGCACAAGAGTATGTAAATTATAGGTGAATTAAGATAATGCATCATACATTAAAGTTATGGGAGAGTAATTTAATGTAGGTTATGACGTGATACAAAAAAATTCTAAAAATTAGTTTGAATTTATGTCGGATAAGTCTACTATGGAAGCTATACATTTATTGAGAAGTTTGATGGAGAAAATTATGATAATGGGTCAAAAGATGTGTTTTGGAGAGTTCTAGAAAAAGAGTTGATATTGCTTATATTCAAGTCATTAAAGATATGTATACTAGATCTGTTACTTTGTTCGAACATGAGGAGGATTGAGCAAGTACTTTACTATTTTGTTGGAGTACATCAGGGATTGGCGATACGCCCATGTCTTTCTGCTGTAATTATGAATGTTCTTAATGGACATTTATAGGAGGATGTTTCTTGGTGTATGTTTTTCACTGATGATATTCTTCTTGTGGATAAGAATAGAGAAAAATAGTTGTTATGGAAAAAACTTGAATTATGAAGGTCAATTTTAGAGCTAAAGACTTTCGTTTGAGTATATTGAAAATTGAATACATAACACATAGTTTTAGTAGTAGTAGATTTAGTGGTTGGGCTATAACAATGGATTATCAAGTTATTGAAAGGAATGAATGTTTTAGATATCTTAGGTCTATTATTTAAAGTGATGGTGATATAGATGAGAATGTTATTAATAGAATTCAAGTTAGATGGTTGTAGTGGAGGAATGCATCAGTAGGGCTGTCAAAAAAACTTGTGTTCACGAACAACTTGTGTTCGACTCGTTAAGTAGCTCGTGTTCGGCTCGTTCGTTAAGTAAACGAGTCGAACACGAACAAGGTTTTAAAGCTCGAATTATAAACGAGCCGAACACGAACAAATCTTTGTTCGCTCGTGTTCGGCTCGTTTTAGTTTAAAATAAAAAAATTATATAATTATTTATATAAAAATATATTACACATATTATTTATATAATAATTTATTATATATATTTATATCTAAGTTTAAATCGTAACTGCTCTTGTGGTAATGTGGTTATGCACTTTTTTTTTGTATACATTTGATTCATGTTCGAATCCAACACCCTACATCTATTTTTTGAGTTTAATTTTAACGAGTCAATTTCGAGCCGAACACGAACACAAATATTTAAATCGAGCCGAACATGAACACACTGTTCACGAGTCAATTTCGAACACGAACAATTTCGAACGAGCCGAACACGAGCCAAGCCTGAGCTCGCTCACGCTCAGCTCATTTATAGCCTTATGCATCAGACTTATTGCGTGATAGAAAAACACTGCTTAAATTTGAAGGAAAATTTTATAAGCTGGTGATGAGACCTGCAATGCTTTACTGTGTAGAGTATTGGCTTGTAACAGAGAAGATAAAATTAAGTGTTTTCGAGAGGAAAATGCTCAGGTGAATGAGTGGGTTTACACTTAGAGACGCTGCGAAATGATCTTATGCATGAATAAGTGGTTTTACACTTTTTGGGTTGATAGATTATGAAAATAGTCGCTTGCAAAACATTTAATTTCTATAATTAATTATATTGTTGTTTTTTATCTTGCACCTGCTTGGTCAACTTGAATTTTTTTTCGAGTATTTTTATTAAAAAAAAATGTTAAAATCTATGTTTTTTTTAATTAAATTAACAACATTTTTTGTTGACCGAGATTTTTTAACTTCAGATTGACGAAGAGATGTTCTGCAATGCAATTTTCATAATATGCTTGATAAATGGAAATGGCATTGTCTGTGCTTGACCTTACGGTTAACTTTTATATGTTATACGACTCGACATTTATACATCAACACATATTTAGGATAACTCCTCATTCCTTCTCTTTTGTCAGGTTGATATATTCATGGATGTAGCGTTTGATTCTGTGCAAGAGACATTCAGGCTATTACGTATGAAGTTATCTATGCTAAATCATAATGTCTTGTGCAACTCTTTGAGTATTTCTATTGCTGAAAGGACTGCCAGTTTTATCTTCCAGCAATGTGAGGTGTCATTACAATATCTTCTTTTCCTTTGCCAGCAAAAAGTGTTCCGAGATCGCTTGCTTAAAAATAAGGTGCCTTGCTAATGTTATCTTCTCTTATTTTTTGAGTTATGCTAAAATGCAAGGTAGAATATCATGTCAATGAAAAGTCTGCATTGCCTGTTTTTGAAGTTTTCTATTAATGAACTAACAGAATACACTAAGGGGACATTTGGGATAACCTTTGTTTTTTATTTTTTAGTTTTATTATTAGTTTTATTTTGAAATAATACATTTTGGTTGTTTTTAAAAATACTCAAAATTTTTAGATGTGTTGCATGTTTTTAAAAATAAGCTAAGTTATTTTTGAAAATAAAAAAATAAAAATATGTAAAAAATACACTAAACAAACATATTTTGAAAATAAAAGCAAAAATAAAAATATAAAAAAGAAAACAAAACTGATCTCAAACAAGCCCTAAGAACTGTGTTTGTGTGTGTTCAGAGGGTGATTGGGTTTAATATATTATATTACATTAAAAGTTGTATGTCTTCATGTTTATAATTTTTTTCTCGATTTAATTTGCGCTCCATGTTTTGTAGGAGCTGTGTAAAAATGGGGGTATTCTCTCTCTTACTTGTACCATACTGAAGTTAACTACTCCAGACTGTTTTAAGGAGTCCCTTGATGTTTTGGCTGCTATCTCTAGATTGAAATCAAGAATACTATCCATTGTGAGCTCAACATGCTTGTATTCTGTATTTATACACTCTTTTTAATCGCTTGTATTGCATCACTGGTTACTTGTCTTGCAGTTACTGCAACTCTGCGAAGCTGAAAATTTCTCTTATCTTGACGAGGTTGCTGGTAGCCAAAAGTGCTTGCATCTGGCAAAATCAATAACCATTCAGGTATGTTTTTAAAAATGGGAATGTGCCATTCTCTCCCCTAGAGTATTTAATTTCTAACTTCTGTTATGTTAAATCATGTATGCAGATACTTGATATTCTGAAGGTTGGGTTCAAGAGAGAAGCCATAGAAGTCAGTGATTCTGTTGGCAGGAGATATCCGAAGGGCTTCTTACTACTTAATTCACTGCGTTTAGCTGATATCTTTTCCGATGATTCCAATTTTCGGTCTTTTTTTATGGCAAATGCCGTAAGTAGTTAGTATCAGGATTCTTTGCCCTTTCATTCTTATCCGCTAGACTTATTCCCAGTTTTTCTTTCCAGATACATGTTCTTAATGAACTTTTGGCGGTTCCTCACCAAGTATTTCTATCCAATTGGTGTACTGTTGATGCTCATCTGTCTGAAGAAGATGGTAATCTAGAGTATGATCCATTTATTGCTGCTAGTTTGGCATTGGTTCTTCAGAGTGGTAGTCCAGAGAGCATTCTATCATCAGTTTCTCAACCAAGTGAAATAAACTTCTCGTTCCATAGTAACTTTAATGGTTTTCACTTGGTTACTTACGGACAGCAGAGAACATCTTATTTGATCAAAATAGTGGCAAATCTTCACTGTTTTGTACCTAGTTTTTGTGAAGGTAAAATATTTACCATGTTTGACATGAAAAGCTGCTAGATTTCCTTTTTAATTAGTGCTGTTCTTTGAATAGACTTCTTGTTAACCAGAAGAAGAACGAAATTTATTTCTCAAAAAGTTTCATGAGAGCTTGCTTATGGAGACCACTGACTCATTGTTGCATCCGGTGGATGTTAACACCCATAAAGCTGCTACAATTTGTGAAAACTTAAGTATTTTCCTTTCTAGAGATTGGTTGATATTGCATTCTTCAGACAATATAATTTTTTCGAGCTATTATCCAACCATATTTATGGAATTGTAGGTTCCTTGTCAAATTATGGAGCATCTTTGATTCCCAACATGCTGAATGATGAAGATGTACAACTTTTGAGGTGATTGAATTTAGCTTTTTTTAATGGCTCTCTCTCATATATGCATAACTATTTCCTCAACTAATAATTGCATTTCAAATGATGGTTTGAAGAATATAAATGCACTATAAACTTTTATTCCGTTGCTTACTTGCCCTTGATTGCCTTACGTTTCCTAAGTTTAGAAAGGACGTTCTCCATGCTAGAGAAGTGTTGCGGGTCTGAGTGGTGAGTACTACAATCCCGATTGCGAGACGTCTACTATAGTAGAATCATTGGCTCCCGCGTTTGTTGGAGTCCAACACTGAAGGCTTTTTATTTTATTTTCTTTCCTTATCATTAGTAAGTTTCTTTCCTTAGCTTCTTCCTTTTTGTATCTTATCTATTTTTTACTTAGGTGTTTCTTATCAAAAGATTTTTGATACTGTACTTAACCCAAATAATGATAGGAAAATCAGATTTTTTTGTTGAATTCAAATAGGAACTTACAACCAAGCAACTAAACAGGAAATAACAACACACGCGACACACAACAGACGACTAGGGGAAATCAAAGGTGGTGGTGGTGGTGGTGGCTGTTGGGCGTTCAGAAACATGGTGGGAAGATGGGAAAAGTGGTGCAAGTGGGCGGATATGGCAACAAAACAATTGGTCCTTGTTTTCAATGGGGGCAACAAAGAGGTCGGGGGTTGTACAGCCGGGAAAACAATAGTTTGAGGGGGATTAGGGCGGGAGGGGCGAAATAGCAAGACAACAACAATACCTTTGCTGTCCTAGGGCGGCAACAAGGCGTAATTTTGATTCTGGAAGGTGGTGGTTATATGGAAGGGAGGAGTGCGGGCTTTGTGAGGCAGTAGGAAGATGGAAGGTTGGGTTTGGATGACTGGAACTGCAGTTGACAGCAAGAAGCATTGTCGAGGATGACCTATAACAATAAAGGGGTAGTTAGGAGAGATGTGGTGAGGAGAACGAGGAGAAACAAGTAGATAATTACCACATCGGGAGCGAGATATAATCAGAGCACCACTCGACCCTCAGTTACAACTCTAGACAGGAAATGGAGACGTCGACAATTGCTTTGAACAAAAACATGAGCAAAATTGATTTTCAAACCTTAATACAACACAGATGTAGGAAAGAATTATAAAGGAATGAAGGATAATAAGAAAGAAAGGAGAAAAGAGAAGAAAGGCTCATGGCATGGATCTACCGTGATCACAGGACTACCTATTCCACGGTCATGTGTAGTCCGAAAATTGACAATTCACATCATTCTCCTGGGGCTGGGGAGAGTTTTGACCTCATCCTTCAAAGTTTCTATCTCCTCATCGCATGATACCAGGTCGACCAGGCTGAAGGTGATGGAGTTACTGTAACTTCCTGGTAAGTGAATCATTGCAGGAGTTGTCATTCGAAAGCACATCCTCATAAAATAAGTATCTATCTTTTTTAGACAACCTGAGCAGGAGCTGCATACAGACGTAGATTCTAACGAACCAAATCTCGAGCAATTAAATTCATGACATGTTTCTTTCACTCGTACTTAGCTGAGTGTGTTTGATAATTAAATTTGTCACGATGCTTTTGAATTAAACCTCTAATAGGTTGGACCACATTGAAGTATAACTCTCAAGAAAGACAACTTCTTCTCTAAAAGGATCTAGATCCCACACTAGGTTGTTCTTTCCCAGAAGGATGTTAAGGTGATTTCTAACATTGTGGTTCATCCCTTTGGTCATCCCTTCGGTCTGACCATCTGTTTGTGGGTGCACTCTTGAACTGAATTTAATACTCAAATTGTTCCACATGGTCTTCCAGAAATAGCTAAATAATTTCTCATCTCTTACATGTTTGACTTCTTTTTTGAGCTTAGCTTGAATCACCATCTTTTCTTTGTCAGTTGAAAGTTGAGAGTCCTCTGTGAAGGCTTCATAATTTCTGCCCCCGCTCAGTGAAAGAGATCATTGTTTTATTTTGGCACTTCGATTAGATATGCCCAAATTCGTGACACTTAAAACACTTATTGGCTGGGATAGATTAGGGAATGTCGGTTCGCTCTTATCTCTTTAAATATATATATATATATATATATATATCTGTGTGTGTAAAATCGTTTTAGAGACTTTGAATGCTCTTCTTTATGTTTTTTGCAGAATTAAAAAATTTTTTGATAACTTTTGGGGTGAAAATTGGAGTAAATTTTAGAGACTTTGAATGCTCTTCTTTATGTTTTTTTTTTTTTTTGTATTTCGATAAGATTGTCGTTTGATCACCATAAATTTAAGTATTATTGATTAGTCACATCATACATAATATCTAGTTATTTTTATCTATGTTTGCTTGTTACTCATTTGAATTTTTTGTAGCATTGATCATTTTGTCGATTATAAAGATTACCCTACTTTGCTCTCATTTTTGTTTAGTAAATTTTTTCAATATTAACCTCTATGATTTATAACAAGAATTGGAGAGAATTAGTTGAGTTATTTTTATTTTAATATTTGTGTAGTGTTTATACAAACTTGAGAGAGCTAATAGGGAACATGTAAAATCAAGGAAGAGTAATTGTAATGGTTTATGAATGGACAAGTAGGAAGATTAATAATTATAACGGTTCACAAGTTGGTTAATCCGATGGACAATTGAACTGCATGAAGTGAATATGGAGGACTGTTGGGCTTGGTAGAATATTGGAGATAAATTTGATAGAGATTTTTTTTTTTATGCTCTGGTCAAGTGAATGAATGGATGTTATTTACTCCAAGTTTGCATGTTAATTTTTGAAATATTATCCTAATAATCTATTTATAGGCTGGCCGGCGAATTGGCCAATTGTGGCTACGTATGGATCATATTAAACGAATGTTGAGTTGCTCTTTCATGAAATGACTACCATTTTTTTTAATATGTTCTGTCATATTGCATGAGACCATGTGCAATATTGACAACTAACTGAGTCACAATAGAGCCTCAGAAAGATTTCCACTCAACCTTTAAATGTTTCAAGAAAATTTTTAGTTATAATAATTCTTAAGTTTATAGTGCCATAGATCTAAATTTAGTTCACGCGTCGGATTTTGCCGCTGAATTTTGCTCTTAACTTCTCTAAGTCATGAGGTTGCTTCTTTTAAGTATGTGCAATGTCCCAAAATTGACCTTCTATCAATTATATATCCTATACAATAAGTATCTATATAGGTTTTTATTGTCAAATCTTCCTCCCTTCTAAAGAAAATTATTTTACTTGATGTTTCTTAATATATTATAAAATATGATGTATGGTGCTAAGGTGTGATTCTTTAGGATTGTATATTAGTTGATTAATTGCACCAATAGCATGGCTAACGTCATTTCTAGTACATGATAATTATTAGATAAGCTTTATTATAAGTTTTTGAGAGTTTTTTTCACTTGTTGCGTCTTCTGGAACAACCCTGTTTTAAGGATTAAATTCTATGAACTTTGCGTGCTCTTTCAATAGAATTGTTTTATATATCTCTTGCAATATAAAGATCCCATGTTGATAGCGTACAACTACAATGCCAAAGTACTTCAGCTATGCTAATTCTTTAATTTCAAATTTTTAGAGCAATATGGTCTTAAAAGTCTCCATCCATTCAATGTCACTATTTATTGTACTGATGTTGTCAACATAAATTAATAGTGTGGAACTTCCCTTAAGCCATGGTTTCACAAATAATATGTGACCGGCTTTGACTCTATCAGTCTTATATGTTGAGCATTGCCTTTCGCAATCTCTCAAAATTTTTTCTTGGATATTACTTCGATCCAAACAATGACTTTTGTAATTTGTATTCCTTTTATTCTGTGTTTGATCCAATGCTTGATGGGATCATATATATCTCCTTTTTAAATTCATCATGTAAGATGACATTCTTCACATAGAATTGATATCTTTTGACCGAGTCATTTGGTTTGTTCTTTACACTAAAGGCCCATCTATATTTTTCTTATTTTTTTTTTCTTTTGGTAGCATCACCAATTCCCATAATTTTTTTTTTCTTAAGGGTTTCCATTTCTTCACTCATTGCATTATCTTAATTATCAATATTTAAAGTCTCCGAGATTAGTTTTCTAAACCTTGAGTCAGGTTGTGCCATTTTTTGGTCAAAAATCGAGCATAAAGCTACATATTGAGAATCTTTTTACCTCCATGAGGGTTCAAATTTATCGTCCTATCTGTCCATATTATGATAAAAATATATACTTTCAATCATTTTTCCCAATATAGGCTCATAGTGTTATAAATATATCATTTTTTAATATATTTTCATCTCCATATTGCCTTACGTTTCTTGCACTACTTATACTGATTACTATAAATGCATGACAACTTGAGAACTCGTTTACCTTCAGCTGGGCTCACATTCATCTTCATAACTTTACAAGTTATTATAAAATACAATCACCAACTTATCCATATACATGACCTTTTGTACGCTTATTTTATTTTTATTATTAAGCCATCAATATATATATCATTCGTTTTTAACAGCTATTCAACATTTCATAAATATTTGGCTCATAAGTGTCAGATGTCCTACTTCTTAAAATACAGCAATGTCATCATTACTAGTATAAATGTTCAATTTTTTGTGCTTGTGTGTTCTTTCTTTTTACTTGATTTGAGCTGTTTAGCTTCAATGCTAGGTTATCATTTTTATTTTTTTCTTTTTTTCTTTTTGAAAGTTATGCTAGGTTATCAATTGATATGTCTTTAATGTCATGTCGATTTTCTTATCTTTGCTTTTCTTCATTTGTTTTCTAGAAGATCTGCTTTAAAATTTGCTTAATTGTTGGCAGGGTTTTCACTGAACAACTAAAGAAACTAACTTTACCAAATAGTGACAACCGTGCTCAGGTAAACCCCCTGTATGCATCATTCCTTTTGAAGATGCCGCACTTTTCACATATTTTAACGTAAGTGGCTGTTATTCCACAGTGCTGATTAATGCTACTCCTTGTAGGAAACAATACAAACTGAAGGTGGGAAAATGCAAGTTGATGGTAACAATCCAATGCAGCAATCTTTGCCTACTTGGGTAAAATTTGCAAATGAAAATTTGAATAAAAATCATCAGGTATATTATGAAAAATTCACCCTTGAGTGAGTCATACTTGTTCAGTATTCACTATTTCTGTGAATTTAATAGGCAATATTGAGAATCCAAGAATTGATTTCAAGAAGACTTTGCCTACTATAATAGAACTAAGTTGTACTTAATATAATGGGGCGGGCCTTGGATACTTTGCAGGACGCTCAGAATGGTGTAGGCAGGCCTTATCTGCTTGTCAAAGCTGATCCCAAGGTCCATGATGATGTTTCGGACATAAAAGGAAATAATATTGACATAAAAGGAGGGACACCACTCAGCTCATCAAGCCTGGAGTTGGAGCCTCTCTTGGGTACAGGTAAGCATGCCATATGTTAACCTCAGGCCTGCTCAAGAAAAAAATAGAGCACTTTTTCTGTAAATTCAAAATATGAATAAATAAATGACCATTGAACGAACAGTGGGGGATTTGGGAAATCCTAAACAAGAAAATAATATGGGCCTGGGGACTCGAGCACATGTGTGCATTAGTGATATCTAAAATCAATTTAATATGAATTTGGAACATGTAAAACACCCCGTAAAGCCTCCGTTGTCTGCTTTGTTAGCCTCCTTTTCCATGGCATGAAAATCCATTGCCCTTTGTTTCCGCTGCTTCTTCTTCAAGTTCGAGCATCGTCTTCAATGGTTTCCACAACACCATCCTCCGCCTCAATAGCGGTGGTGGGATTGAGTTCAACGGTCTTCTCCGGCTCACAAAATTCGCAAAAAATGAGGCCAGAGCTTCATGTTGTGTGCTGTCGTGAGACACTACGATCGGGGAGCAAAAGTGTTGATTTAACCTGTGATCTTAAAAGACACAACGGGCCTTCAATGTACCTGCACAAAAGGTTAGATCACAACTAATATTCTCCAAGTGGAACTTTGCTTTCCCTGAATGGTACTCAATTCTCCACGGAGGAGTACTCACTTTCCCACAAACGTATACTCACTTACTCACGAACAAATGCTCACTTTCACACGAACGGTTTCTTTGAAATCCCCATTTTAATAAGATCTTCCAATTTTTTCTCGAATGGTACTCAATTCCTCACGAATGGGTACTCGTGCTTCCTTGAGTGGATATTTTCGAAAAATTGCCCCATTGTCCCAAAATTATACCTCCTGAGCTCTAATGTCATTGACGACAATGACAACGAGATGACAAACAAATGCAATAGATTTTTCTTTTTTGTACTACTAAACGGTAACAACAATAACAAACAAGATGAACAGTAGAATGGCTCGATTTGGGTTTTAAAGTGGGCTTGGTTAAACAAAAAGCAAGTCTTCGATTTAGGGTCCATTTGGGGCTGCTTCTTTTCCGCGACAATGCTTCGGGCCGTGATTTTCGCCTGTTTGGGGCGGCGCCCAACATTTTTTTATTAAATGTTGGCAGCGTATTTGACCCTGCGGCCTGCGTTCGAGGGTTTTCTTTTTTTTACGCTTTACCCCTTTCGTCTTCTTTGATGCCGGTGGTGAGGATCTGAAAGCACTGTTCACTGCAGCGGCAGACAGCGATGAATTCTTCTCGGGCGATGAATGTCGAGAGATCGTCGTTGTGCAACTGCGTGGTGAACTTTTTGGTGGAGGAAGGCTATGTGATGACTGCATTCGAGCTCCTCCACGAGCTAATCGAGGACAAACGAGATGACCAGGCCATCTGCTTTTTAGAGTACTTCTCGGACCCTTCCCTCTTTCCCAGATTTCCCGCTTCAACTCCATCAAAGATTGTCTATTCCGCCCACTACTTACGTATCTGGATCTTCTTCTACCCTATGTACTTTTATTTCAATGTGTTATTCATTAACACTATCATTGATCGTCCCAAGCCCGGATGTGAAAAGTTGAGGGTTGAGTTAGGTAGTCGATAGCCAGCGTAAAATTTATCGGGAAAAAAAATCATGACATGAATCCTTTTGATCTTTGTGTAAGTATTAGGGCGTTCCTTGAAAACGATGCGTTGTATAGTTTGAATGCAGTGAAAAGTGTGCAAGGGCCGCTACATTGACGCCCGAGTGTTGTGTCAAATAAGCAAGAGTCCCCATATTACAGACGGATGCGGGTAAAGAAGTTAGTCCATAAAACTAATAAAATTAATATTATGATATGATCTTGGAATATAGATACTCTCAATGATAAATTAATTGAATTAGTTGATACTATGATTCATAGAAAGATTAATATCTTATGTATTCAGGAGACTAAATGGGTTTGAGAAAAGGCTAAGGAGATTGATAAATTTGGTTTTAAACTTTGGTATTCTGGTAAGAGTCGCACTAGAAATGGTGTAGATGTAATTATAGATAAGAGTTTGAAAGATAATGTTGTATAAATTAATTATAAATTAATAGAGTTTGAGATAGAATTATAGCTCTTAAGATTATCATTGATACTAAGATTTTTAATAGTATAAATGTTTATGCTTCTCAAGTAGGTTCAGATATAGGGTCTAAAGATAAATTCTGGAATGACTTAGAAGACTTAATACAAGTGATACCTATTGAATGATACAAGTGATACCTATTGAAAAAAGAATTTTTATTGGAGGAGATTTAAATGGTCATGTCGGTAGAGTGATAAAAAATTTTAGAAACATTCATGGTGGCTACGGTTTTGGAGTGACCAATGAAGAAGGTAGAGCTATTTTAGATTTTGCTCTCGCGTATGATTTTGTTATTGTCAATCATGAAGGACGGAAATCAGACAGCTAAATTAGGAGTTTTCTATAATTAGGAACTTCCTTATTTAAATAATTTTCAATGTCTTTATTATGATTTATTTCCATTTTAGCTGAATATTTAGATTAGGAATATGTATTATTAGGTTACCTAAAATAGATTATGGATAATATTTTGTACCTAAAATAGATTGTAAGATTATTATTTAATGGAATGAAAGCAAAGGGAAAAGAATAGAGCCTATTTAGAATTCAAACTATTTTTCTCAAAACCTTGACATGATATCAAAGCAAAAAATTTTGCCCTAACCACCGATAGTCGTTGGAGGACAGTCAAGCCTCCCTTCCCATCGGCCTTCTTGCGGAATGGGAAGGGATGAACTATTTCTTTGTTTTGATTCTCGCTCGTCTGGTTGTCGTCTCATTATTTCTTCGTCTGTGTCGTCTTCGTTGTACTTCGTCTTCCTCTTTGACTCGAACTGTCTCGACAAAATCTCTCCTTCATTCGAACTCCACCTATTGTGCCCTTGTTAATCTTATTAACCCTAAACTATCGCATTCATGACCGAACTCACGCGATATAATCGCAACTAGCTGAGAACGCAACGACGGGATCGCGGCTTGCAGAGACCCCATTCTGATCCTCCTTCCCATGGCGTCATTAGCAACGTCCGCCATGACCTTGCATTATAATGAGCGGCTTCGTTCCTGAGAATGTTCCGATCTACACTGCCCTCACGAATGAGTTTGCCTTTTTTGATCGTTGGTTCACTTCTGCTCTTGCTTCTACCCAACCCAACCGCTGCTTTCCTCACTTCTGATAATCGTTGGAGTTACAATCGATGATAGGGAGGCGAAATATCGAAGGCTTCGTCCGCTTCATTTGTTCGCTTCAGATCTCCTTTCGCTGGCCATCACTGCTTCTGCGATATCTTAGACTGCTTCTTCCGCTTTGACTTCGGCTTCTTCGTCACACTCAAGGATTGAAGGCTTCAACACTCCTTCCTAAACCGACGACATCGGCTTCGACATACCCTTGATCTTCGACTTCGACACTCTTGGGGTTCAACACTCTTGAGCTTCGGCACTCTTTGACTTCGACACTCTCAGGCTTCGGCACTTTTGGCTTCATCACTCACTACATCAGAATTTTTTGTTCTGACAATGTTATCAATTTTTTGTTGGCAAATTGATGTTTCTTGATCAGTCATCATCAATTTGTGGGGGGTTGTCAATCAGGAAAGACGGAAATCGGGCAGCTAAATTAGGAGTTTTCTATAATTAAGTATTTTCTTATTTAAATTATTTTCAATGTCTTTATTATGATTTGTTTCTCTTTTAGCTGAATATTTAAACTAGGAATATGTATTATTAGGTTACCTAAAATAGATTATGCAGAATGTTTTATACCTAAAATAGATTGTAAGATTATTATTTAATTGAATAAAAGCAAAGGAAAAAGACATGGAGCTTATTCAGAATTGAGCTTATTTTTCTCAAAACTTTGTCAGTTATTAGTAATACTTTATTCAAGAAATTATATGCACATCTTATTACTTATAAGAATGGATCTAATAAAACACAAATTGATTATTTTCTTATGAGAAGAAGAGATCGTTGAGATTGTAAAGATTGTAAGGTCATTCAAAGTGAGGATTTAAGTACCCAATATCGTTTATTAGTTCTAGGTTTTAAGATGAAAAGTTATAAAATAAAGAATATTAGGACTCATCATCGTAGAATTAGATGGTGGAACTTAAAATACAAATAAAATTATTTTTATGAGTAAAACTCAATATTTTAAAATTTGGGATGTTTATAATGAAATAAATGCTATGTGGGATAAAGTAACAAATACTATTAAATACTTAGCCAAAGATGTACTTGGAGAATCAAAAGCAAAAGTTTCTTTAAATAAAAATAGTTGGTGGTGAAATAGTAATATGCAAGAAAAGATAAAATGTAAGAAGTTATGTTATAAAAATTGATTTAGATGTAAAAGCTTAAAGAACTGGGAAAAATATCAAACGATCCGCAAGGAGTCTAAAAGAACAATATGTGACGTTAAAAATTCTGCTTTTTATGATCTTTATAATAGATTAGATACTAATGAAGATGAAAAATTAATGTATAAACTAGCCAAACAAAGAGAAAAGAAAAATAATGTATAAACTAGTCAAACAAAGAGAAAAGAAAAAAAAAGTAAAGATTTAACTCAAGTAAAGTGTATTAAAGATAAAAATCAAAAAGTGTTTTTCTTAAAAAAAATATTCAAAATAGGTGGGTGAGTTATTTTGATAAACTTTTTAATGAAGTTTCTGAAAATTTGATCGACATTAGTGATCTTAATATCGTTAATAATAATCAAAAGTTTCATTTTTACTGTCGCATTAGTAAAAAAGAAGTTGATGATGCTTTAAAGAAGCCAAGGATGGAAAGTCTGTAGGACCTAATGATATCCCAATTGAAGTGTGGAAATATTTGGAAGATTTTGGAGTTTCTTGGCTTACTAAACTCTTCAATACTATTTTAAAAACTAAAACAATGTCTGAGGAGTGGAGGAAGAGTATTTTGGTACCCATTTTTAAGAATAAAGGGGATGCACAAGAGTGTGCCAATTATAGAGGAATTAAGTTGATGTGTCATACTTTAAAATTATGGGAGAGGGTACTTGAACGTAGGTTAAGATGTATTACAAAGATTTCTCATAATCAATTTGAATTTATGCCAGACAGGTCTACTATGGAAGCTATACCTATGGAAGCTATACTGATGGGGAAGTTCAGAGATAATAAGGAGAATCCACATTTGATTTTTATTGATTTAGAAAAAGCTTACATTTGGATCTACATATGTTTTTTATTGATCTAGAAAAAGATTACGATAAAGTCCTAAGAGAAGTCCTTTGGAGAGTTCTTGTGAAGAAAAGTGTTGATATGACTTATATTCAAGTTATTAAAAATATGTATACTAGAGTTGTTACTTGTGCTCGAATTGTTACTTCTAGAGTTGTTACTTGTGTTCGAACTGAAGGAGGATTGACCAAATATTTTCCAATTTATGTTGAATTACATCAGGAATTGGCTTTAAGCCCATATCTTTTTGCTTTAGTTATGGATGGTCTTACTGTACATTTACAGGAGAATGTACCTTAGTTTATGCTTTTTGCTGATGATTTCCTTTTCGTGGATAAGATGAGAGAAAAAGCTCAGGAAAAACTTGAATTATGGAGGTCTACATTGGAGTCTAAAGGCCTTCATTTGAGTAGAACTAAACCCGAATACATGGAATGTAATTTTAGTAGTAGTAGCTCTAGTGACAGAAGTGTAACTTTGGGTGATCAAATTATTAAAAGGTGTGAACGATTTAGATATCTCAAGTTTGTTGTTCAAAGTGATGGTGATATAGATGGGGATGCTAATAATAGAATTCAAGTTGGTTGGTTGAAGTGGAGGAATGCTTCGGGCCTTTTGTGTGATAGAAAAGTACCGCTTAGACTGAAAGGAAAATTTTATAAGACAATGGTGAGACCTGCAATGCTCTATGGCGTTGAATGTTGGCCTTTAAAAGAGAAGCAAAATACTAAGTTAAGTGTTGCCGAGATGAGAATGATTAGGTGGATGAGTGGCTTTACACTTAGAGACAAAATGCGAAATGAATATATCCGTGATAGGGTTGGTGTAGCTCTTGTGACAGACAAAATCGGAGAAAGTCGTCTTAGATGGTTTGGTCACATTAAACGTCGATCATCTGATGATCCAATTAGGAGAGTAGATGTTTTAGATTTGACTTGTGTTAAAAAAGGCAGAGGTAGACCTAGAAAGACTTGGGCTTATTGTATAAAAAATGATCATAATTTATTAGAAGTAAATAAAAATATGACACTAAATAGGATGCAATGGAGAAAAAGAATTCATGTAGCCGACCCCACGTAGTAGCATTAAGGCTTTGTTGTTGTTTTTGTTGTTGTGTTATTCATTTGGCGCTCTGTTGCAAATTGCCATTGAAGCTGGATCTGGATTCTAGAGTTCAGCAAATGCCACGGGAAATCAACATTCGATGCTTTAGAGGAATGCATTCAAGAAGAAGGATATGGTGGAAATTCTTTTTGTTATTGTTTTTAGGGCATTCATAATCTTTAGAACATTAGAACATTAGCTGCTTTTCTAATCATATTAGAGCATGTGGATTTTGGGGTTTGACATGAGTGAATGTAAAAGAGTATCTATTGTGGTAGATATGGTTCACCTATTAGCATATTGGGATGTATGAGCGTCCAACAACTTGTCCATTTGACTCAACTAATGTACTATATATTCTTCTCAAAAGTGTTATTGGAGTTGATGGTTTGACTGAAATGAATGTTTTCTGTGTTTTGTTGATTCCTCGATTCTTGGTGCCTTCCTATATGGTTAAATTAGGTTTAAGAATCGCAACTTCTATGCTGGAACCTTATGGTTGATTGAGCTCTTGATGTTTAACATTTGATGGCGTTGAAAAGGTTTTCTTTTGAAGGGAGTGATGGGTTGTCTAGATGATTTTGAGTGAGGGAGTGAAGAGTAATCCCTCATTCAAATTGAATATACAAGTTAAGGTTTGAATGTGTTAGGGTTGCATTATAAAGTCAATATTTTCTTATTACTAATTGTAATTTTGATAAGTTTTTTTTTTTTTTTTTGAAGCATACTTGTTACTAACTGTGTTACATGAGGTGTTTATCTTGATTTTTGTACCATTATGAAGAAAATTTGTGCTTGTAAAGTACCAAATACATGGTTAGAACAATTTTGTTACAAACAACATTACCACACAGGGGCAGAATGATTATTTGTCTAGAAACAGCCGTTAAACAGCTATTTTCAAACTGCAAAAAAACAAACAGTTAGTCAGCTTCCCCACAACAACTTCCCCGCAGATGCTTCTTGGGACAGCTAAGCTGCAGCAACTTATTGATAAGTTGCAGCTACCCAAACAACACTTCCATAGAACAAGAAAACTGAGCTCGGGCTTTAGGGCGGAGGATCACGTGACTTAGGATGCCCGAGCGCGCAACTTAGGGCAGAGTGAAGAAATAGGTCTCTATGAACTGACAATCTCGTCGTTGTCTTCCAAATTTACGCTAATCGCGACTGCCTCGCGAGGGATTTGAGAATGAAGGGTAGGTGAGGGTTTTGCGGTGCACAGAGAAGGATCGGCGTCGCAGGCTATAAAGCAGGGAGGATCGAGTGACAGGTTGCTTGAATATGGAAGGAGGTGATGGTACAGGAAGACAGTAGCCGAGGATTAATCATGCAGAGAGGATAGCATGCGGCTCGGAAAGAGCGAGGGCCTCTATTGCAATTTACGTGAGCGACAGGAGGGATCATGGCGCAGAGTGGGTGGCGTGCGAAGAGGGAGGAACAGTGAAGGTTTCGAACGGTGTGATCTTGCATGCAAGTTAGGGCGGAGTCTAGGGATGCAGAGGGTTGTGCGTGAGGAAACGCGACGGGAGAAAGGTTTTGATCTAGCGGAGGTTCGAGACTAGTGAATGAAGAACGAGAAAATTGTGTGAAGGTTTCGAAGTGGAGGAACACGGAAAAAGAAGGATGAAGCGTGGGAGGACGGCAAGGGAAAGAAGCCTTCGCTCTGTTGCGGTTTCAAGTCGGTAGAACGAAAAGGTGTGATGGGCGAGCAGTTCTATCGTGGCTTTTAGTTCTAACCAGAGAAGCATTTTCTCGCGCGAACGGCTTTGGCATCAGAGCGGGAGCAAATGATTTAATTTTAATTACATTTAATTGTCTTATTAAATCTAATTAATAATATTAATCATTTTTAGTACTTTTATAACGTCAACAATGTTATTGGGGCATCTACATACATACCACACAATCCTTATGTAATTACATATCTAACACCTAAACATTCATATTTTACATTGCTACCATTAAATTTTTTTATATTACATAAAACTATCACTAAATACCATAATAACTGTCTTTTTAAATGTAAAATATACATTTTCTTGCAAATCTTCTTGCACCATGATGTTACAAGTGTAAATATGAAAGTTTGTGTTAGATATGCAAGTATATAAAAAATGTGTGGTTTGTATGTAAATGCCCCAATATTATATTAACTTGACGCCTAATATAATGGAGTTTTTTGCTAGACCAGAGGTTGCAAAAGAAACTGGTTTTCAAGAAGAGGAGAAAGCTGAAGGCGTTCATGGTGAAGAGAAGCAGCCAAGAAAGAGAAAACGTAATATCATGAATGAAAGACAGATATCTCTAATTGAGAACGCACTCCTTGTAGAGCCTGAGATGCAGCGGAATGCAGCTATGTTACAGTCATGGGCAGAAAAGCTTTGTTCACAGGTTTCGCTCTCTTTTTCATACTAATTTTTCCGTCTCTGAAATCTCCTTCTGCTAGTACTGTTTATGTATGCCGAGCCTTATAGTGATCATTTTCCAGGGATCAGAGATTACAGCTTCTCAGCTAAAGAATTGGTAAGAAGTTACCCCAATTTTAGCATAAAATTTTCAAAGCTGCATTAATTTTTTTTCTGTTCATATTTCATAATATTCTGCTTTTTATTATATATTTTTATTTTCTAGCTTTTCCCTTGTTTCATCGGAAATTTTTAAACCAAGTCCTATTTAGCACTTCAAACAAACAATACAAGTCGCCATCCATACCACATGAAAAAGTACACCACAATAGTGAAAATATTGGTAGAATGGTGATAGAAGGAAGAAAGAGTAAATCGCCATTGAAGTAGAAGATTGTACTAGGATTAGTGACTTTTTGTTTGGCTAATAATTGATACAGCTCAGTTGCTTCTGATGGTTCAGTTTTTACTTTTGTTGGAATGAAGAGATTTTCACTTTGATATGATATTCAGTTGACAAGTGCCAGGGGCGGAACTAGCCTCTTTTTTTAGAGGTAAATTTATTGTACAATAATAAAGTAAAATAAAATAAAATGTATAGCACAATTCAAAATAAAATCTTGTATTTCAAATATGTATAACATGAAATATGAGACAAATAAATCATTCAAAACTTATGAGTTTAACATCAAATAATAAGTAAATGTAAATGACAGCAAAAAATTAAAATAAAATTTAGGAACCAATTCAATGAATCCAATTATATCTAGTTGTTGACTTGGCACTACAATCTGATGACAAACAGCACAAACAAAATAGAACTCCCCCAACTAAGCATATCAACTCATAAGAGATCACAAACAAATAACAGTATTCATATTAAGTCAAACAAAATCTACAAGAAGTAATGGAAACATACCTAAAAGCACTATAGCTATAGAACTCAAGGCCAATGGACGTGAAAAGGAGAAGCGATGGAGAAGACAGCCTGCCCCAGCCTAAGAGACAAGCTGGCTTCCGTGCCTAACAATCTAGGAATCCCATCCATCAGACAGATTTGTCCACGTCTGACCAAAAAAAAAAAGGAAGAAGAGAAAGACAACAACAACCAACAACAACGCAAATGCATGTAATAGATGGAGCCTGCGACCCTCCGTTTGTCCTTTTCCTCCCATCGAATGCTAACCTTTCGTCCTACCTTCCCTGCTCCTCCTTCCCGTTAAATGGAAACTATTGATTTCTTCTTCCCCTTCAAGTTTGTTTGAATCATATCTGCGTGATTGAGAGTCATGAAGGATCGAAATTCAGATATCTTTGTTTGCCGATCGAATTGTCATTGCCTTCTCAGCTTGCCTTGTGACTTGTGAGTTATGGCAGTTGCGGCCCTTCTCGATTGAGTGAACGTGACGGAACTCCTGTCTTTGGGATTTGGGAAGGTGATGATGAGCTCAGCGTGGAGAGGGATAATGAGGAAAGTGTTCAAAATCAAAAGCCAAGCGATGGAGTGCATGCAGCGAGAGGCTAGCGCATGGATTCGAAGTGGCAAAGAAAATTTTCAGCAGGGGCAAAAATATAAGCGCTCGGCCATATGACTTGAAGCCCGAAACTCTCGATCTTATGTAGGTTCGCCCATAACGAGCATTTTACATCCTCTTAGTCCATTTTTTTGGCGGACCTTTACATACATACCACCCAATTCTTATGCATTTACATATCTAACGTCTAAACTTTACTTTTTTACATTTATACCACTCAAATCTTTCATATCACATAAAAATATATCACTATTTTAAATTTTAAAAAGTGAAAGACACCTTTACATGCATAGATTAGGTGACATGCATGTAAAAATTGAAGTTTAGGTGTTAGATATGCAAATAAACAGGAATTATGTGGTATCTATGTAAATATTCCCTTTTTTTTCATTACCATTTATAAGCTTTTTTTTTTTAATTCACACATACACCCTTATGTGCCATGCCTTGCATGCAAGAGCTTGTGGTTAGAGACAAAGCACTCAAGAACTAGATCAAGTGTGTTGCATGGCTATAAGCTATTGAGCAGCCATTTCTTGTATTAAATTTAAAATGAAAGTGATTTGACATGTTGTGATTGATACTTTACTTCTAATTGAATAAAAATTGTGTTACTATATATTGATTCGGTTTTTATCAGGATTGGTTTAAAGACCATTAGATTTTGTTTTGAGATTCGTGCTATACAAACTGTGTGCACACGAAGAATTTATACAGCACTAATCTCAATGCAAATCTAATATTTTTACGCTGGTCTGGACATTTTTATTCCCTTCTAAAATGGTAGTTATTTCAATTAATTGTGCATGCCAACCTAAAATTTTCTAATTAAAAAATTAAAATCAAATGTCAAAACCGCACCACCACCATTCTGTGGGTTTTGTCATTTTTATAACGATTTGGGTGTTCACTGCCTATGTTTTCTAAGAATGATTTGAATATTACCCATAAATTAATATTTTGTTTACAGATTAAAAATTTCCTTCCATATGTTATATTACATAAATTCCCCTGTTTTCCTTCTACTGCAGGCTAAACAACAGGAAAGCTAGGCTTGCCCGTGCTGCCCGTGAAGCTAGAGCCCCTTCTGAAGGGGAGAACACCTATGACAGTGCAGGGGAAGAACCCCACACATCTGGAACCATCCGAGGAGCTGGACATCAACCTGATACTCATTTTGAGAGCCGTTTATCAGAACCACGGCTGAGCTTTGTTGTCGTGGGACTACCAAGAGAAGGCGGCCTCGTAGGGGAGGGTGCACCAGGCGAAAATGAAGGGACGAGAGAAGAGCCCGAGGGTCTGCACGGACCTTGATGAGGCCTCTGAGCTCGGATAACGCTGCAATGGTGCAGCACTGCTCGTGCCTTCACGCCTAAATTGCGGGCCGCAGGTACGAGCATGTTTGCATTTATGATGGCAAGTCTTTTTGACAGGTCTATTGTGTTGACCTGGGGAATCATGACGCGTGGTTTTAGGTCGTTATGTTTGACTAATGGTATGATTAGTTAATTGAGTAGGATTGAAAGTGTTTATGTAGGTTCTCTTGCGTGATCATGTATGTTTTTAGGATTGGTTGGAAAATGTTCATTTAATATTTTGTTTATGGGTTTACCAAGTTGTTTGTTTATTATTATTATTATTAATTATAGTCCTTTGGATTTATTTATCATCTGATCAAACATGGAATTGGATGCAAATTTGGTTTTCTCAAAACACCAAAAATGTTAGAAGAGGATTAGATGAAGTTTGAGTTTTGTTATTGTATTGTAACTGACAGTCTTGTCATGATAGATTCAATCAACACTGAAATCATCAAATTACATGTATGATTGGTCTTTGCATTGATGAAATAAATTAAAAATGGAAAGTATAGATTGGTTCAGAAGGCGATCTTGCTCCTTTATTAAGTTGATTGATTGGCATGCCCTCGGGGTGATCAATTGTTGTTGGTTGATAAATGGTGCATATCGTTGTTATATTTATTGTTCTTAAATTGAATTCACAACCTTTTTTAATATGTTTATTAGGATTTTACATTTGTCCAATTTCTTAGGTGAGCTTTGGCTCTGTGGGTTCAAAAGGGGTGATTATTTAGCTGCTTTCCGGAACACAAAAGGCTAGGTGCCATTGGATGTTCACTTGGATTTAAAATAGGGTATTCTACATACCGCGTGTCACAATCTGTCATCTTCAAAGAAAATTGGCAAGACAACCATCAGATGGAAAATTATAGAAAATGCAAGAGAAGGAGAGCAATTCAAGAAACTCTAGAAGACTCTACCGCAATCTAGATAATATTAGAAGGAAAAGCTCCAAGAAAAACTCAAGAATTGCCTAGAAAGATCTAGGGCTATGTATGTATATAAGACAACGGTGTAGAACTATCTATAAACCAGACCATTCTAATAAAGCGAAAATACTCCTGTGGACTTGGAGGGTACTATAAATAGGAATCCCTCCACCTCATTTGAATCCATCCAAGGACCATCCAAGGTTCCAAAGCATTCAAGTTTTGCAATCAATCTTTCTTAGTGAAGTATTTCTTTCTCCAATTCTTCTCCCTACTCTTCTTCCAAGAGTGTTTTGTGCTTACAATTCCAAGAGTTGTGAGGGTTAGACTGATTTAATGTCAAGGAAGAGCGTTGAAGCCGCACGGATGACTTGAGATAAGTTAATCTGTGATGGTATCAGAGTCTTGATTCGAAAGCATGACAAAGAGCATCAAAGTGCACGTAGTTGAGTCTGAAACCACTATTGTGGAATCATCTCAATAAGGGCGATGTCTTCAGGAGCAACGAGATCCAGTTGCATGCTTTGGTTCGTACCTTGCTTGGGTGGAGGAGGCAATGAATGGCTTGGAGACCCAAATAGAGGATCTTGGCCAAAAGATTGATGGACTCAAGGAGGACATCACAATGCATTCAATGATCAGAGACATGATGCTCCAACTGGAGGAGTCTTTAAGGGACCAAATGGCAAAGATGTGGGAGGACTTGATGGGGGAGCTCCAGGAGGTATGAAGACCCATTGAAGACGAGATGAGTAGCGTATGTGCTAGCTTGGAGGAGATGCGTGGAGACATTTCGCTATGCAAGAGGGCACTAGCGACATCCACTAACCATCATACCTTTGAAGTTAGGCGTATTGAAGTGCCAAAACCAAAGAGTTTGGAGAAGCTCACAATGCAAATGAAGTGGACAATTTCTTATGTGGACTTGAGTAAACCTTGGAGCGATGGAGATTATAGATGAAGATGCAAGAATTCCATTTGCAACCATGTATCTCTCACATCATTATGTTGTGGTAGAGAAGAAGACGAGGAGATATCGAGAAAGCTATGTGCACCATATCCCCCATTTGATGACTTCAAAAGGGAGCTAAAGAGATAATTCTACTCTGAGAATGTGGAGGATGATGCTAGAGTTCGGTTGCGAAGGCTCGAGCAAACGGGATCAATTTGGGAATATATTAAGAAGTTTATTAGCCTTGTCCTTGAAACTCTTGACATGTTTGACAAGGATGCTCTGTTCAACTTCATGGATGGACTCTAACAGTGAGTTTAAGGGGAATGAAGCGCAAGATCTGGCTACTGTCATCGTTGTTCCGGAAAGCTTGGTTGACTATACAGAATAGTCTACAATGCCAAGGGAAAAGAAGATTAGCTATATCAAAAATGGGGTAGACAAAGATCAACACAAAGAAGAGACCCGTCGTGAATCGATCTTATTCAAGGCAAAAGACAAGGAAAAGTCTAACAACAACAATAAACCCTAAACAAAACAACAATTGTTTCCTTTATGGAGGACCTCATTGGGCAAGGGATTTCCCTTAGAAGAAGGCTCTGAACTCTCTCATTGCAAGCCATCAAGAGGAAGAAGGAAGCGATCTGGCAGCACAAGTGGGAACTATGCAAATGCTCAACGTGGCGCATTCCTCTCCACAAACCGCGAAAAAAAGACTTTTCTTTGTGGAGGTGATTATAGGTGGGACATCTACTAAAACAATGATAGATACATGAGTTTCTCACTTCATCTTTATTGAAGAAGCAAAGAGGATGGGTCTGCAAATAATTGAAGGGGCTCCATCAAAGTAGTCAACTCAGCGGCTTGGTTCCACGGAGTAGCCAAAGGAGTGAAGTCCTGTGTTAGAGATTGGTCAGATGTGGTGAATTTCTCCATCATTTCAATGGACTATTTCAAGGTAGTTCTTGGTCTAGATTTATTGGATCAAGTGAGAGTGTTCCCAATAATATTTGCCAATAGTATGTGCATCATGGAGGGCAACCAAGCTTGCCTAGTACCGACAACAAGGACTAGCAAGCAAGAAGCCAAAATGTTATCGATCATTCAATTCAAGAAGGGCATCCAACGAGATGAGTAGAGCTATTTGGCCATTCTTCATGAGAATCCCCAAGAAGCATGCCAAGGGAAGTATTGGCTATACTTGAGGAGTTTAAAGATGTTTCACCACCAGAACTAACACCAAGAAGGGAGATCTATCACCAGATCAAGCTGGAGCTAAGGGCTAAGCCACCGACAATGAGAGCTTACCGCATGGCACCTCCAGAGCTGATAAAGCTACGTAAATAATTGAAAGAGTTGTTGGAGGTTGGATTCATCCGACCATCTAAAGCCCTATATGGTGTCTCGGTTCTATTTCAGAAAAAAAAGATGGTTCCCTGCTTGGTCAACCTGGCCTAAGTCGTTGGGTTGACACACATGTGCATGTGCATAGACTACCATGTTTAAACAAAATTACCATGAAGAACAAATACTCAATTTCTCTCATCGCCGATCTTTTTGATCAAGTAGGGAGCGCAGAGTACTTCTCAAAATTGGATCTCCAATCAGGCTACTATCAAGTGAGGATAGCAGAAGAGGATGAACCGAAGGCCATTTATGTGACCAGGTATGGGTCGTTTGAATTTTTGGTCATGCCTTTCGGGCTAACCAATGTTTTTGCTACATACTGCACCTTGATGAACAAACTATTCAAACCATACATTGATTAGTTTGTTGTTGTCTACCTAGATGACAAAGTGGTGTCTAGCAACACACTTCAAAATCACCTACGACATTTTCGGGAAGTATTCAAATTACTAGGAGGAAACAAGCTATACCTCAAGAAAGAAAAATGCTCTTTTGTCAAACAAGAAGTGATATTCTTAGGGCATAAGATAAAGGATGGAAAGCTTGTGATGGAAGAGCAAGATTAAGGCTACCCAAGATTGGGAGCATCTTACTAAGGTACATGAGCTAAGATCCTTCATGGGGCAAATAAACTACTGTCGACGACTCATAATGGGTTATTCTGCAAGAGCTGCTCCTTTAACGGACCCAATCAAGAAGAATAAGACATGGGAATGAAATAGCAGGTGTCATGAGGCATTTGAAGATCTCAAAAAGGCAATCAGTGAAGAGCCCATACTTAGCCTTCCTGATCTTATTAAGATATATGAAGTGCACGCAGATGCATCTGACTTCGCTGTAAAGGGAGTACCCATGTAAGACGAACATCCAACTGCCTATGAAAGCCAGAAACTTCGCTACACAGTCCAATAAAAGGAGATGAAGGCTATCATAAATTGTCTTAGAGTATGAAGACAGTACCTACTCGACTCTAAATTTAGGGTCATGACAAATAATATTGCTACTAGCTACTTTCAGACCTATAAGAAGTCAAGCCCCAAGCAAGCAATATGGCAGGATTTCTTGGTAGAATTTTATGACACTTGGAGTATGGACCAGGAAAGGCCAATATAGCAGCAGACACACTAAGTCTAAAGCTGAACTTGCAAGCATTTCACAAGTCTCCAGCTCACTAATAAGCAGAATCAAGGAAGGGTTGAACTCTGATCTGTAGGCCAAAAGCATTATTGCTCTGGTGAAGGAAGGAAAAACCAGAAAGTTTTGGATAAATGAAGATGTCATTTATACTATAGGTCGACGCATCTACGTACCAAGGTGGGGCAACTTAAGAAATGAGCTAATCAAAGAATGTCATGATTCTTTATAGGTAGGGCATCCAAGTATGAAGTGAATCCTAGCTCTTCTGAAAACAAATTATTATTGGCTAGGGATGAAGAATGGGTAGAAGAATATGTTCGCACTTATCTTGTTTGTCAACAAGACAAAGTTGTCCTTCAACAACCAGTGGGGTTTTAGGAACCACTACCTATCCCTTGGAGAACAGGGAGAGCGTCTCTATGGACTTCATCTCCAACTTGCCAAAGTCAGATGGATTTGGAAGCATCCTGGTTGTGTTTGATAGGTTCAACAAGTATGCAACATTTATTGTTGTTCTCACAGATTATATTGTCGAAGAAGCTGCAAAGCTCTTTCTCTGCATCGTGGTAAAGTTATGGGGAATTCCACAAAGCATTATCAGTGATCGAGATACTCGTTTCAGTGAGAGATTTTGGATCAAACTATTCTAGATGTTAGGGTCAGATCTAAACTTTTCAACAAGCTTTCATCCTCAAAATGATGGACAAACTGAGAGGATCAATGCCCTCTTAGAGCTATATTTGCATCACTACGTGAGTGCAAATCAACAAATTGAGGCCAAATTGCTTGATATGGCACAATTCTCTTTCAATTTACAAACAAGCAAAGCTACCAACAAGATTCCTTTTGAGATAATCATGGGACAACAACACACCTCTCTCCCTTACAACCAACTATGATGGAAAAAGTTCAGCAGCCTTTAAGTTTGCTAAGTCTTGGAATGAGCAAAGAGAGCTAGCTCAAGCAACATTACACAAAGCCGCAAGGAGGATGAAGAAGTGGGTGTACAAAAAATGAAGACATATTGAGTTTAAAGAAGGAGATCTAGTTCTTGTAAAGGTTCTATCCCATCAATTTAAAACATTTCAAAAGGTAAATAAAGGGTTAATTCGAAGATAGGAAGTCTTTCAAGGTAATGAAGCAAGTGGGAAATGTCTCTTACAAACTCAAACTTCCACCAAAATTAAAAATGCATTCAGTTTTTCATGTAAACATGTTGAAGCCCTATCATGAAGACATGGAAGACCCTTTAACTCGGATTTCTAAGCGAGCGCCTACAGCCGTAATCACCTCCTTTGATAAAGAAATTGAAGAAATACTAGCAGACAGAGTGATCAAACGACGAGGGGACCCAAACCACAAGGAGTATCTCATTAAGTGGAGAGGATTGTCTGATAGTGAAGCTAACCGGGTGCATGAACACACTATGACAATTCAAAGAAAAGAACCAGTAGTATCAGGAAAATGGCGCAATGAGGGCATTGGGAGCTTAAGTGGGGGAGAGTGTCACACTTCGCAATCTTCAAAGAAATTGGCAAGACAACCATGGGATGGAAGATTCTATTAGAAAAAAACTAGATAGAGAAGAGCAATCCAAGTAACTTTAGAAGATTCCACTGCTTTCTAGAGAATATTAGAATGGAAAGCTCCAAGGAGAACTCAAGAATAACCTAGAAAGATCTAGGGCTATGAATGCATATAAGAGAATGATGTTGAACTATTTGGAAACTAGACTATTTTAATGTAATCTAGAAGATTCCCTTGAACTTGGAGGGTACTATAAATAGGAATCCCTACCCCTCATTTGAATCCATCCAAGAACCATCCAAAGTTCCCACGCATTCAAGTGTTGTAATCATTCTTCTTAGTGAAGTGTTTGTTTCTCCAATACTTCTTCTTTCTCTTCTTTCAAGAGTGTTTTGTGCTTACAAGTCCAAGCATTGTGAGGGTTAGGTTGGTTTAGTGCCAAGGAAGAGCGCTAAAGCCGCATGAGTGACTTGAGATAAGTCCGTGACATACAGCTCTTAAACATCATTTATTACTTGTCGTGGTCTCCAAACATCAAATTTATAGGCGAGGGACTCTATTACACTCCATCTCCTTCCAACGGCAAGGGATACAAAATAAAGGCTTGGTGTCGAGCAACATCCCTGTTACACCTCCCTTTCTAGTTTTGGTGCTGAGCAGCCACTCTCTCTGGCGCCTGTTGCGAGAGTCGAAGTCAAGCAGGCACCCTATTTTTCACCTGCTGTAATGATTTGCCATCTCTGCATCAAGCAGCTTAGTCTTCATGGTCTCTTGCTCCAATTCGGTAATCCCTTTAACATTAATATCATTACAATCAGACTTGAGCTTCTCCAAATCTAGCTTCTGCATTCCACTCTCACTTTTATGTGGGAAGAATGGATCAACCTGTTGAATTATCATAGATAAACGCCTTATCAAGCTTGGCAGCCCATTATTTTTTTTCTTTTTGTGACAGGTGAACTCTGGCTAAGTTGGGGGCTTTCAAACTTATTTTCTATTGCAACAAGAATGAAAGGCCTCGACTTGTCCACATTAATTGGATTAATCTGCAGACTCTCCCTTAACAACTTTGCATTCTCATCATTATTTAATTATTTTTGTTTAGAAAACAACCTCTCTAATTCATCAATCTCTTTATCGTCATCAGAATCTACAGAAGATTTGAACAACAGAAAGCACAAACAGTAAAGCAGCCTGCTTAAAAGGATTAAATGATATCTAGAAGCATACCACAAGTGTCTGCATTTCCAGCGAGTCTTCTTTCTGTTTCAATGGATGGTACATTCTTGATTTGCCTGATTTCTTTGGACCAGGCAGCAAAAAATATAATAATAATACTAATATATAAAATTAAACAATTGCTATGTTGTCTTAGGAATTCTAACATAGCAACTAGAAACCAAGTAATAATAATATATAAAATCAAAAAACTGCTATGCCGGGTTTTTTCTGAGTATGCTAATTCACATGTATTGAATGGTTTTCAGTTCAATTTGCATGTTTAACAAAGTTAATTTATTGTTCAGTATGGCAAAGTTTGATCAATTTGCTAAGAATTGATATTTTACAGATATAGACAAATCTTGCAAGTCAATACTTCTGAGAATTGAAGATGCATAACTGGAACAAAAGAGCTTAGTTTGGCAGCACACAGATACAGACAAAGTTATCGATACTTACAATTCAAGCAGATCAATGCTAAATGGAGGACTAACATGCCGGAAGAAGTTTGCTATTTACAAATCAACCATGTCCGTCCATCCATTTTGCAGAAATTTAAAAATATATAACCTGAAGTTTGATTCCACATACAGAGAAGATTCAATGAACTTCATAGTTTCACAGATTAAAAGAACTTCATTGTGTTGTAAAATATAAGATTAGTAGGGATGCTGTGTTCATTAAACTTTAGATGTTAAATTAATACATAAAGCACAAGAAAAGCTATTTGCTGCTTAAGGTACAATGCAGCTCGAGGTCGAGCAACTAAGCCGAGAAAGTTATAATACAAGATAAGCTATTTGCTAGTCTATAAATATGCCTCGTTAGTAATGATAAATTACTATGCATATATGCTTATATGTGAAAGTAAACCTTCTCCGGAAATGAGGATGCAAAGAACCATAAAGTAGAAACAGAACATCAAAAAATAATCAAATCTAAATTTATAAAAAATGAAACAAATGTAAAGCTTCACTCAGTGAAGTTGTTCTATTCCACCACTTTTTATTTGTAGTTTTGCCTTGAATTGAGTTGCAGTACTTGTATGATTTGAGTCATTAATGTAGTTTCCATTTTCGGGCACTTACAAGCTTTCTTGACTCGATGGATTCTTACAAGTAGTTCTTGAGAGTTTTAAATTTGGTTTTTTTTAGGTCCGTCTCTTGGCCGGGTATTGTTAGGCATTCTAACGCATGTGCTATATGTTGGCACATTCCACTTCTCTTTTCCTAGAAGAGTTGACATAGGAACCTTGTAAGTCAATTTATGCCTACAAATGAAACGATGAGCTTAATAC